TGAGACTTAACCCCTGCGCCACCAGGGAGGCCCCCTGATAACAATTTTGACTTAGAGCCAAGTTTAATTTAAAATTGGATTTCTTATTGAGGTCCTTTCCTAATGAGTTTTTATGAGAGCATTTAATGAGTAAATGATGATTTTTAATGCATGAGACTTCAGATTTATGAAATTCAGACTAGAACTTCCCAAATAGGAACCGTTTTAAGGTCCATCAAAATTGATCTAAATAGTGAATTGTGTATGAAGGTGACTTTTCTTTAGCTTAAAAAAAAACCAAAATATCTATAAAACATTAGAAGAAAACTTTGTTGGTTTGGTGTAGGAAAGCCTCCCTTAAAGAAAAACACAAAATGCAAATGTCAAAAATCTGAGTTTTACAAGTTTGCCTATATCATAATCTAAAACTTCTACACAAGATACCTTAGAGATGTAGGTGAGAAAATAAGCATGATGTGGATCCAAAAAAACTAGGATCTGAAATTCATAGCGAATTTCTATGCAGCTGCAAAAATGACACCAAAAGTAAAATGAAAAATGAATGAGAAACAGATGAAAGTAAGAAATTTATCAAACTAGAAATAAAAATGGCTGAAAGACGTGTGAAAATATGTTCAACCTCACCAATAACTGGGGAAAATGAAAATTAAAATGAGATACAGCTTATTTTAAAAAAAAAGATCAGATTTGCAAAGGTTAGCAAGTCTGGTGGACACAGGTGGGAAGTGGCCTGTTTCATCCACTGCTCACGGCAAGTCCTCAGTAGCTTCTACCAGGGCAACTAGGCCGTTACTATTGAGTTCTCTGCAACTAGGCAAATCCCACTTCTGCACTCCTGCCTTAGACACAGTCATTTGTGTATACAAGCAGGTGCACACAAATAGGATTGTCATTACTAAGTGGTAGAAACCCAAAACACCGCAAAAGTTCAGCATGAAGAAATGGCCCAATGAGCCCAGTGCCTGAGGAATACTACGCAGCAATCAACAGGAGCAAAGGGGTTTGAACCATGCTCTCCCCAAAACAGCAAGTAAAAGACACTGTATGTACAATAGGTTCTCATTTGCATAGCACAAAGAAAAAAAATCCATAAAAATTATTTCAGATTTCAGTATATACTAAAGGACCGATTTCCATCTAAAGGACACATTTCATTGTCTGAGCCACCGTCAAGGGAAGGGAAGCCATTCTTCCTAAGACCATTTTATGGTGTTTTATTTCTCCTGGTTCTACATTACTTTAGCCAAGGAAAATCAAACATTTTCTAATTCTTAAGATAGCTTTCCCAGGACATAATTTAAGAAATAAAAGAATATTTACATTGTACATTTAGATAAAAGAGCACCATGCAGGTGCAGCAGACCTCTCCTGACACGCCTGCTGCCCCCCTCAGCAGTGAATTTCAGTAGATCCACCTGTTCAGCTCCCCACTCTGTCTCTGGTGAATCCTCTCACCCCGGAACCTCTGCACCCCAGTTCTTATATGCATAAATAAATAAATCTTTTAAAAGAGTACCATACAGACAGAACTCTATTTTGGGGTTAATTCATGGAAACACCACTGGAGGACCCTCCTGATCCATGGGTACTTTTGAAGAGGTAGATAGCAAAGAGATCATTTTAGTGTGTGAGGTGTTCACAGATCTCTCCTAAACTGAAAAATATCTCCTTTGAAAAAAATAAAGTGTGAGAATAAAAAAAAAAGGTACCTCCATCTTGACAAAAATAATTGTCATTAAAAATACTGATGTATTTCATTTTTCCCTTTATACATGCTTTCCTTTATACATGCTTCCTTTATAAATGTTTTATACATGCTTTAGGTTTATTCAAAAAATCACACTATTATACCGTAAGAATGTTTATTTCACAAATGATTTTTTAATTCTTGAGCCACAATTTCCCCACGGTATTACATTGCCAATCTTTTCTTCTAAGCTTTCTAAACATTAGATACAGAATTTGTTAATAATTAAAAGAGAACATTCTCTTGAATAATATACCATATTTAACTTAAAGATTCTTAAGAGCTGAAGCTGCTGGGTCCCCAAATAGCCCTGAGGTCTAAATAGGAAAATACCTGCTATAAAGTGTGACAGAACTCTCACCTCAAAATAAAGCACAATGAAATTTACACGATCACCTCCACAGTCAACATTATTCTAACATCCAGAAACCAGCTGGAGTTCTAGAAACAAAACAGCTTACATTCAGAATTCGGAGCTTATACCGGCTGACCCAGCTTGAAACTGGTTGCCTGCATCTGTTCAGCACAGATGGCTCGAGTCCCAGGCCCTTGGGCACCCAGTGGACAGTGGGCAGGACAACCACTAGGACAAGAGCATCTCCACGTTGGCTTTCCCTGTTCACTTGATCAGAGGACACAATTCCAGCTCCTTTATCTGCCCCACTGGCTCTCGAGACGCAGGTCACGCTTCTGGATCTGTTCTATCCTTGGCTGTCCATCGAGTCCCACCTACAGTGCAGCTGCAGACCAGCTTCTCCGCCTCAGGCTTGGAGCCTGGTGCTAAAGTGCTTGTTGACCACGCTCTGCAGACCTCAGAGGACGTGAGGTCAACGCGGGGCGGCCAACGGGCCTGGCGGCCCTCTGTGTTTCTCTCCTTCTTCTTAAAACACACCGCAAAGGTGTCACATTATGGGAGATGGTTTCTCTCCAGACCAAATCGAGTTAGCTTTGCTTAATTAGAGTCGCTAACATTTCAGCAGATTTGGCGAAGCGCCCAGTACTTCCTCGGGATAAGGTGCTGATTCTGCGGGACCTGAGCTGGAAATGGCTGGCAGCACCTGCTGGGGTTCTCCCGGGAAGGGTCCCTCCCCTGCCCACGTGCTGGTCAAAGGCAGTGCGAGCCACCAGGCCAGCACCCCCTCTCCATGGAGACCTGGGCTATGACACGATAGCAACGCTGCAGGGCACAGAGGACAACAGGTTCCCTCTTGGCCACCAAAGGTCCTGAATACCCACCCCCAAAGCAGGCACCCCGGCCTCCCAGAGCTGCCGTCGCCTGTGCCGGCAGCACAGGCCAGTCCCCTCCGGCACGCCAGGATAGCACGCGCCCTCAGACCCCATCACCCCTCACTGGGGTGCAACTGACAGCTGGGGGGGCCGGCTCCCGCCCGCCAGGGTCTCATTTCAGGAGCTGGGGCTCCCCTGGTCCAGGTGGGGTGGAAGCTCCTGCTGGCGCCCACCTCTTGCAAAAAGGCCCCTTTGGACGGTTTTTTAGCCACTTACTGAAAATGCTAATGTGAGACAAGGGCCCCGAGGGCAGAAAGAGGAGTGCTGGGTCACAGGACGTGCAGGTCCCCAGCCCTGGAGACAGCAGTGGGGGCTGCTCCTGGGGGGTCTCCTCAGACAGCCCCACTGCCATGACGACCGGCCATCGTCATAACTGACTTTGTGGGTTTTAGGAGGATTCTCTCCAGTTCTCCCAGAGATGGAGGCCACTGCCTTGCTGATGGGTTGGGGGGTGTGTGTCCACAGTGGGTGCAGAACCCAGATGGATCCCCCACCCCGAGAGGGGGCAGGAGGGGCCCCAAAGGGTGGGTTTGCATTTCCGCAAGCCTGGGAAAAATGACAACACGCAAGCACTTGCTCGTGTAAGACCATGCTGGGGTGCTCGAGCTCCGCAGCGCTGGGGCGTCACTGCACGAGGAGCCCCCAGGGCCCCCAGGGGCAGGGACAGGGACCAGCGGACACGTCCAGGCTCCGGCTTGAGTCGCGGACAAACGGAGGCCAACTGGGAAGAGACGGTCTTGCTGGGCCTGTGTGCGGCCGCGGCGGGGACCCGGCCCTCGGGCACGGGCTGCGGTGGCTGGTCGTTTCTTCCCTCTGGGGGACGCTTTTCTCCCTGAGAGCTCGGGGCCCGCGATGCCTCGGGCGAGGGGCGGCAGGCGTTGCATCCACGGCAGGACCCGGGTCGGGCCCCTCTACGGGACAACAGCCTCGTAGCCACGCAGACAGGGGACGTCCGGGGTCCCAGCCACCCACAGAGGGACGCGGGAGAGGTGGCCTGGCGGGGCCCCTCGGCACCCACAGATCCCGTCTGCACCTGACACAGGAAGCCCCTCCCTGCGCTCTGCAGAGGCGCCCACAGCTGAGAAGACACGCGCGGCCATCGCCCCCTCACACTCCCGAGATCACCCCGGGCTGCCCGGAGCCCCCAGGGGCGGCAGGACCAGCAGGTCTGCACGTTTAGGGAAGCGTGGGAGCAGCCTCTCCACACCAAGGTCGATCCAGATGGACTCCCCCTGCCCCCCGGCCGCGAGCTGGTGCTGGGGGACCCCTGAGCACCTGGTCCACGCACAGCATGGCCGGAGAGGACAGCGTGGAAGCCGCACCGTCACCCCTCACGGAGCTGACGCTTCAGCCTGGAACACAAGGCGACTGAGAAGCGCTGCAGTGACGTCACACGCGCCCCAAGACCACCTCGGCCACCAGAGTCCCCCCTTTTCCACAGCCAAGACGTCGGCCAGGGCACGGCCACGCGTCTCCCTGGAAAACAGCAGCACGACGCGGGCTTGGAAACGCCTCCCTGTCCCGTGTCATCACCAGTCAGGTAACCCCTGAGGAGACGCCTGCCACCTGGAGGCTCACGACTGTTTACAGCTATTAAGTATCAGGGGTGCGGCCCAACCCTGGCCGGGCCAGCAGGGGGCCGGGCCGCCCCCTCCCCGGGGTGCCCGGAGGTCTCTCACGCTGACCCTGCTTTTCTGCCCCGAGAAACCTGAGGAACCAGCCAAGGAAGAAAAGGCAAGAGACAGAGGCACAGACAGAAGCTGAGGGGGCCAAGCCCAGAGACTCGTGGGGAGCAGAAGGGGGTTCACTGCCCGCCCGCACCCCCAACGACACCAAGGAGTGTGGTGGGGTCCAAATCCACGAAAACACACAAACACGAAAACTGCTGCTGCGGCCACACCCTGCGCAGGATTCCAAGGGGAAAATGGGTTTCGGGGCGGAGAGGGCCGGGGCAGGGCTGCTGGAGGCAGGCTTGGGGTGGGCGGGGGGTCCCTACCTCTTGTGGTGCAGGCCTCCGGCCGTGGTGACACACAGGAAGATTTAGCAGCCGCGGAGGGTCGGAAAAGCCAGTCCAAGCAGAGGTGGCTCAGCAGGGCTGTCAGAGACGAGTGGGCGTTCCTGGGCAGGTGGAGCCCCGGGGGCGCTCAGGATGGGCGTCCCGGAGGCGCCCCTAGCGGCCCCCTACTGTCTGGCGGGCGCACACACGTGTGCCTGGGGACCTTGAGGAGAATTCTGGGGGCAGTGCTCCCCAGACCAGTGAGGTAAGAACCTCTTTAGCAGGAGCAGGGGCCAGAATCATCTAAAAGCTGCCAGGTGATCCTCAGGGGGCAGCCAGCATTGAGAATCACAGGCTGGAGACCATTCGGCACCGCGGGCTGGGCCACAGCTGTCGGAAATTACCAGCCTGGGGAGGCCTCAAATTAGCACACGTGGGAGGAAGATGCCTCACAGCCAGGGACGCACGAGCGACGGCCTCTCAAGAAGGTTCACCAACCCCTCCTCCCACCCACGGTGATGTGGGCCACCCCAGCTCCTCTCCACAAGGTGCCCCATGGCCAACGAACTCCACGGCTGTGGGTCCACACCCAGGCCACCTCCCGCCTTTCCAGGGTGCCTCTAAAGTCACTGACTCTGACTTTAAAGGCTGCACCTGCAACACACACACACACACACACACACACACACACACACCCAGGCCTGTGCGCAGCTGAGGGCCTGCTCCACCTGTTTTGAAAAGCAAAGGTGAGATCCCTGGTGGTGCCCGCAGTGGGGAGCGAGTCAGAGGGCCCAGCGCCACCTGCCCACACCACAGCACAGCCAGGGGCACACTTTACCCGCGAATCCGGGGTCACATTTAAGAGTGTTCAAATCAGCCCAGAATGTTGTAAGTCTACGGCTTCCAAGCAGGAGAGCTGGAATAAAGTGCTGTCGGCAGTGACTATGGGAGAGAGTCTGCGATGCAGATGGCCAGGCCAGAGGCTCATTAGATTTCAGAACTTTAGATAAAAGAATGGGCAGAAAATTCCCGCAGAGAGCTTGGGGCCAAGGCAAACCACCTATGTGCTCTGCCAGGACCCCCACATCTTGGAAACCCTACAAAGTTGGCATCACGGTGAACGGAACCTCAGGGGCAGGCATCAAAGAGTGGAAGAAATTACGTATCAGGGCATCTTCGGAACCGAGTCCAGAGAAGCGGGTGCCCCAGCCCGCTCCCAGGGCATGTGCCTAGAGCCAGTTTGCTGACTGTCCAATGCCAGTCCCTCCCTGCTCTTCTGGAAATCACCGCCCCATTTTGGTAGTTTTGCATTTCTGAGTTCCTGACTTGTTTTGTATCTGTTTGACGTTTTAAGGATCACTGGGTTCAATTTATCTAAGAGCACATGACTTAATTTTGTATTTCCAGTAATAATTTATTAGAGTTGCCCCCATTTTACTCAATGACAGCTTTTTCTCACATGGCTTGAATACACTAGAGACTCTGTTGTCCAGTGTGTCTAAAACTCCCTGCTGAAAATGAGTTCAGTGCAGCAACAAACACCGGCCTCCCTCTGCAGCGTCACAGTCTCACAACAGGTTTTCTTCATGATGAGGACGCTGTGGGGAAGAGCTTTAAAATAAGACCGGGGGAAAATCTCACCCGTCTGCCCCACGCCACCATTCTGCTGTAAGTCAGTGCCTCCATCAAGCAGAAACAATTACCGGGCATCAACAATCAAGCGCATAAGAACATACCCTGGACCACGGCAGAAGGCAACACCCACAATCCACAGCAAAAAGGGGGAGGGTTTGGGCTGGGGGAGAAGATTCTACAATATTTGCCACGGAGAGCACAGTTATTGCTGGACAGTTTTCTCAACAAAGGGTCTTCGGACCCATGTATCAAACTGCCTTAAATACAAAAACCCCATCACGATAAAATGCTCCAAATCTGATCATGGTTAAAAATACAAAATTACACAGAAAATGCCCCTGATAAATTGGCCTTAAAATTTTCTGGAGAGGTTTTTTCAAGGTAGACCTTCAGGCGCAGTGCCCGCGTATGCTGATCTCCAGGGGAACTGCTTTCTGGCAAGCCCACTGCGCCAGCTCCTCTCTGGGGTGCAGCCGGGGGCCCCAGGGCGCTTTCCGTGGGGGACTGTGCAGGGCGGGCTGCGAGGGGTGGGGTGCAGGGGGCTGATGGCGCTCTGCCCCCACCCCAGCCCCTCTCCTGGGGGGACAGCCGACCCCTCACGTCCTCCTTCTCCAGGGCGGCGCCCGCCTTTCCTTCTGCGCCTCCGCCAGGCGCTGCTTCTCCGCCTCCTCCGCCCTGCGCTTCTCCTCCTTGGCCTCCTTGTACCGCCACTTGGGGAGCTGCAGGTGGGCACTGTCCTTGGTGCTGCCCTTCGCGGCCACCCGCTCGGGCTGGAAGGTGGGCGCGGGAGCCTTGCTCACGCGCACCCGGGGGATCACCACACCGGGGCGCACGCTGCTGCGCCGCAGCAGCTGCAGGGCCAGGAGGCTGGCCTTCCTCGGGGTGCTAGGCAGCTGGGGAGACGCAAGGCTGGTTTTCGGGGTCCCCTCTCTGGAGGACGCCCCTGCCTGCGAGGTCCGGAATTGCTGCTCCACGGCCTCCACCTGGTCCCTCTCCTGAGCCTGAGTGCCGGGGTGCGCCCGAGCCTCCAGGATCTCCTGCACCGCCAGCCGCCTCTTCCCCACACAGGGGGGACTCTCAGGGCACACGGTCTGGCAGACGACGGCCACCGCCGGGCTGTGCAGGCTCGTGGTCATCCTGACCATGTGGTCCAGGACGCCCCCATCCACCAGGCCCTGGCGGGAGCGGGAGGTCAGAGCAGACCGGATGAACTCCCTGAGCCTTTGCAAGCAGTTTTTGGAGCCTGGAGACTTCAGCGACGCCTCCAGGGGCAGTGGCAGCTCTGGCTTGTACTTTTCCCCAAACTGCTCTGGGCAGGGTCGTTCCAGCAGCTTCTGGATGAGACGGACCGCCTCCGAACGTCCTGTGTAAGCGGCCCACTCCTGGGGCGACATCCCCCGGTGCGGGTCCCTGGCGTGTACATCTGCCCCTGCAAAATACAAGATAATCAGAGATGGGGGGATGCAACAAGAGCTTCTCCTTCCGCAGGCGGAAAAGGAAGACCGGGGGTGCAGCAGAAGACACAGCCCCAAGCCTACCCACGCTCTCCTGCACAGCAGCATCCCCGCAGGAGCCCGGCGCCCACCACCTCCGGGCGCCACTCACTGGCCTGCACTCCGCACCCTGACCGTGGGGTTTGTTAAAGAAGCAGATGGCGGGGCTTTCCAGCAGTGGAGAGGTGATTAGACGACAAAGGTGCTTTGTGAACACTAAATGATGAGACTAGAACATTCTGAATACATTAACGGTGAGAGGCACGTGCAAAAAGCATTTGGTCTCTTTTGTGAGGACTTTGATGGCTCCTAATTTGCAGGTGTTGTGGAGTCCTTTACTTCTCAAACTGGGTGGTTAGCTGAGTAAAGACAGAGACCAGGAAGCAGCATTTAATAAAGGCTGGGTACAGAATGGGCAGTGGTCATGGTGGGGAGAGACCTCTTAAAGCCTCGAAGCAGGTCACAGCGCACAGGACTTGGACCTGAGTGTGGAGACCCCGGCTGTGCACGCCCAGCACTCAAGAGGGCAGGCCTCTCCTCCTGGGGTGACCAGTTTTCTATCTGTAGTCTCCAGGGAGTCAATCAAGCACAAGTCTGGGTGTGCTCTGAAAGCGTTTTGTAGATGCTGTGAGCATCCACGGTCAGTTAACTTTAAGTCTGGTGAAGGACCCCTGATGGGGTGGGTGGCCCAATCAGATGAAGGCCTCGAGAGCAGTAAGTTAAGCTTCCTGGAGAAGGAATTCAGCCCTAAGAGGGCGGCTTCAGCATCTGCCCACGTCTCCAGCTACTGCTCTGCCCGTAGGATTTACCAACCCCCACGAGCTCATTGCCAGTTCCTGAAAATAAACCTTCTCTATTTCCTACGGGCCTTGTTTCTCTGGAGAACTCTGGGTCTTTCACCCTCACGGTCTCCCTAATCTAGTCACGTCTTTACTAAATCTCCCCCCACCGTCCCTCCTCCTATCGCGAAGTTCAACTTCAACTCAACCTGGAAAGATGTTCATAAATTCCCAAGTGGCCGGGTGGAAATTAATAAGGAATTACTGTTCAATTAATCTTGGTCCAATCTCAGTCCCGTATACAGCCAAAAATCATTCAGGATTTCAAGTCCCACTTGACACATGTCCACAGGCAAAGCACAGCGGAGAACTAGGGCAACCATCTAGTCTGGGGGCTCCGGGGGGACCAGGCTTCCACCTAGATCCTGCGCAGCCCCGGGTGTCTGGCCGCGGCGCTGGCCCCCGGGGGCGGAACCGAGCAGGGCAGGGGCTGAGCCGCCTCCCTGCCCCAGCAGCCCACCGTGGCCCTGACGCCGAGCAGAGCACCTCACCCGAGCTCACCCCACAACGCTCTTCTGTAATGCATGAAAGAGTAGCCGGTAATTATTTGGAACTGGGAATCAGGATGAAACTCATCAGCCAGAGTACAATTTATAAACTGACTAAATGAAAAGGGGGCAGTAAAAATGTCAATGCAAAAATAGATGACACATTAAAGCTTAATTAATTGCATGTCACTTTAAAAGGAACAAACTGCAAAATTAAAATCTTAATGAGCAGCGCTTGAAAGAGACATTTTTCAAATGCTAAGGGAAAGCGAAAGGAACCGCTGCCCTCCAGCAGCAGCCGCTCCAGGCACCTCTCCGAGGGTCTGGGGACACACTAGCACCCAAGAAGAAAGGTGTTCTGGCACAGGTCTTAGCCCAAGGGGCGGCATCAGGGAGGAGGTCGGGATTCCCTTCCTCCCTTCCTCGAGGAGCTGCTCGAGGACCGCGTGAGTGGGCTGGGGTGGCGATGAGAGAAATCACCGGGGCTGCTGACGAGCGCTTTATCCAGACACCTTTCAGAGAACACGGACAACTTCTGGACGACCAGGGTGTCCCCTCCTCCCCATGAGGACGCGCTCCTGCTGCGCAGACCACAGCTGGCTGCTGACTGGCCCACGGGCCGCCATGTTGGTGCTGAGACCTGTCGGCTCAGAGGCCTCTATTTTCTTCCTGACTTGCAGGGGCACAACACTCAGTCTAGGCGCTGCCTTGTGGTTGCTCTAACCAGGGCCCTGCAACCTCACTGCCGCTCTGAGTTTACGGGACTTCTAACAGCACCCTGGCTTCTGCCCACTGGGTGCCAGGAGCAGTGCACCAGTTGCAACAACCACAATGTCACCAGACATTGCTAAATGCCTTCTTGGGGCACCCCCCGCCCCTGTTGAGGATTATTGTCCTAACCCAGTGGCAGCAGTTCTGCCCCTTTCCCGAGCCCCCCGCACAGCTGGCCAGGAGGAGGAGACTCTCGCTGTGGCACAAAGAGGAGACTTTTGCTGTGGATCTGAAGCCTGTTGCCGGTGGCCCTGTGTGTCACACGGTGACAGTCAACAGCAGAGTGGGCTGGGGAGGGGCGCCCAGTGGACAAAGAAAGCTGCGGGGTCTGTGATGTCATCGTGGACAGACCCGCATGGTGACCGGATCAAGACTTGCAGTGAGGAGAGAGAGAGAGAGAGGCGCCTGCTTCCTTTAAGCCCGTCAAGTCAGGACTTGTGCTGGGCCTCCCCAGTGGCGCAGCGGTTGGGCGCTGGGTCGCGAAGCTGCCCGCAGCCTCTGCGGCGCCGGTTCGATCCCCGGCTGCTCCCCGGCCACCGGAGGAGGGTCCCGCATGGCGCGCAGACCTCTCCTGCCGCCCGCTGCTCCCCTCAGCAGTGTCCTTCGGTCCTTCTGCCTGTTCTGCTCCCCGCTCTGGCTCTGGGGAATTCTCTCACCCTCCCGCGCTTCTGACTGTACCCAGTGCTTGTATAAATAAATCTTTAAAAAAAATAAAAAAGCCAGGACTTGTGCTACTGGAAGCAGAAAGCATGGAAGAAACAAGCCACACTCACACACTCACTCTCAGACACGCCCAGCCCCGAGTTACCAACCTCCAAAACCCTGCTTTGGTCTCCCTGCTGACAAGAGGCCTTTCTGGCCCAACAGGACCGCTGCGGCTGGTCCCGGGGCCCCCTCCTGTGCCCAGCCTGGGCTGCATCCCGGGCACTGACGGTCTCACCACAACACCACGGATGCAGGTGGCAGGGAGGGGCCCCGCACACCAACTCCTGCCTCGGGACAGATGCAGCTGCCCGAGTTCGCACCCAGGAGCTCCTCCGCCCCGAGTCCTGGCAGTGGAGGATGAACACCGTTTCCTGGGCTCTTCAGAGATGTGTTTGCGGAAAGGTGGCGTCTGTGAGGCCATTTTAAAATGGAGAGCGGATCAGAGAGAAACCGCGTTCTCTATCTGCACTGGGCCAAATATAATTATTTTTAAGAAGCCCCAGGCACGCCGCTGGCGAGGATCGTCCAGATCAAGGACCTGATGACCACGGACTCAGCTGGAGGGCAGACCATCAGCTCCCTCTGCTCCTTTCTAGATAATCAGCGACCAGCTACGCGTAGCCGAGAACAGCGGATGCCTCTTACCACCGATCAACTCTCTAACCGCTCACCTCATCGCCCCGTTTCTCCCATAAAATATCCTGACTTTGCAGCCTGGGGACATGCTCTACGCTTTCTCACGGCACCATGTACCCTGAACTGCAATTCTTTGATCCCAAATAAACACACGTTGCCTTTCCAGCTGTCTCTTGAATTTTTCGGGTGATGTCTTTTACCCAGTTGTTCCTGGGGGCTCAGTGGGGCTGACCCCCAAGAGCCAAGGGCCGTCGGCTCCTTTGCACATGTGCCAACCTTCCCAGCTTCCTTTCGCTGCTCCCCTACCCCTCTGTGGCTTCCTGGGGTCACCGTCCAGAAAAGCTACTTGCCCCCAGCTCCGTCTGCATTTGCTCACGTGAGCTGAGGCACTGCCTGCTGATCCAGAACTCCTGAGAGTCTCCCTTTCTCGGCCTGATAAATGGGAACGATTCCAACTCGGCAAATGCTCAGTTCATGGGAAATTCACGTTTTCCTGATACACAGAAAGAAACCTTCACAGGGATGGCCCATCTTCGGTCTTCCGGATGGAAACGGTCAGGGCTGCCGGGGGAGAACCACCCCGCAGTCAGCAAGCTCGGCCACCAGCAGCCTCTGCTCTTGGTCCTCATTAAACAAGCCCGCCCCTCCCCGTCTGCTTCTGTCAGAGGCACAGTGAGGAGCAGCTGAGCCTGAGGGAGCTCATCCCATCTCCACGACCAGCCTCCAGCACCCTGGACTGCAACTCCCGAGCCTCGCGCCGAGCCTCCCAAACATGCGTGACGCAGCTCCAGAGACTGGAGATGGAGCTGGCGGGGAGATGCCCGCAGAGAAGCCACGTGGGTGAGCAAGCGTGGAGGGAAAAGCTCCTGGGATCTGCAGAGGCCGTGGCAGCTCTCATCTTGACTTCATGGTACATTATAGGGCACATTTTTAATTTGGGGCTCTCCTGCCCAGCTCCCCTGGACCTGCCAGCTAATCCCTTTCTTGTGTGTGCCCTGGACTTGTTCTGGTGTTTTGGGGTCTCAGCCACCCCCCTTTGGGCCAAGCTTGTTTGCGCATTTGCCTGCAGAGGGACGGGTGATCTCTGGAGTTCACCGGGAACCCGTTATTTGAAATCCTTCCTCCCTGTCCTCTTTCTCTCTCTCCTTTGAACTTGCACGGCAGGAACAGAGCCCCGCACTAGCAATCTGCTTCTTCCCGTTTGCGCAGATGGCTGGGCCCTTCGAGAATGTGCCCCTGAACAGAGCAGGGTCCCCGGGTACCCCCCATCATGGGGTTACACTTTGTCCCCATAATCACAGACGTCAGGGGTTGGTGGACTTGTTTTTGCTTCACAAACGCTGCAGCGGTGACACCACCTTCAAGCACAGACTCAGACCCCCGGAGCAAGTCCACAGCACGCCAGCCGCAAGAAGCCTGTCTGTCCTCAGAGGAAGCGCCTCCTCCCTTCAGCTTCCCTGAGCCACTTCTTTAAATAGACCTGTCACCTGGGCGTTCACACCCACTGGATTAACACAGCCCCCGGCCCCCTGCTCCGGTCTTCCGTGAGCCAACACTATTCCTTGGCAGCCTGAAACCAAAGAGCCAATAAATCAGCTTTTCAGAACCTGTCATTGCATTGAAATTCCAGGTTCTGATAATTCTAATATTATCTCCTTCTGCCTGACAAGGTGGATAGGAATGAACGTGTGTCTGCACGTGATGAATGACTGGACGAGTACACAGGTGAGCAGGGCATCCAAATCAACCAGTTGTTACTTCTAAAAGGAAATGGCTCCTCTCACTGACTGTCACAACACCGCCACTCAGAAAGTCAGCTCCAGGCCAGAATATGTTCAGGTGCCAAAAAATGAGACACACATTTCACCCCTCGCCATAAAGATGTCATATGCTGATGCCTTTGGCCTTTAAAATTCTCACGGGATGACCATTTGGAGATTAGCTCTCGGTACCTTCTGAGCTGCGCATAAATGTATTCTATGCTGAAGAGTCAACAGCTAAAGAAATACTCAGGCATTAGTATCTTGAAAGACTGATTTTCTTAATATCAATATATTTAGATGGTAATCAGAAAAACTATGTAAGAAGACTTAAATATTTGTGCAAATTTGTAAAATATCTGAACAAGTTTCCTTATTGTTATCCACCAAACCCAGGAAAGATACTTTTTTTTCAAAGATTTTATTTATGCATACAAGAGCTGGGGTGCAGGCCACAGGTGCAGCGGGTGAGAGAACTCACCAGAGACAGAGTGGGGAGCAGAACAGGCAGATCTACTGAAATCCACTGCTGAGGGGAGCAGCGGGCGAGACAGCAGAGGCCTGCTGCGCCCTGTGGGTCAGCTCCCTGGCTGTGGATCGAACTCAGGGCATAGGGTGACAGCTCTGAGACTTAATCCCCAGGCTACCAGGAGGCTCAACCCACAAAAGATATTAACCATACTTATTTTTCTTTTAAAACATAACACACACGTCTACTATGTGACTAAGTGAAGCTCACTTTCCTGGGGAAATGCAGAGTAAGCTAACTTAGCAGTGATCATAGAAAATGAGAATATTCTGGAAATTCAAGGCTACAACCATGGCCTTAGAGGGGAGCTCAAAAGCTCCCTGAAAAGGGAGTCAGTTTTTCATTTTAAGAAAGAATATAGAAGATGCTGGAAGGATGTGCTCATATACACTGCCTACATCAGCGATCCTCAAAGGAAACCGTCTCTCCTGGGGTCACGTGGAAATGCCTGGAGAAACTGGCTGGCTGTCAAGACTGGGGGTGCTCCACTCACCTAGAGGGTAGGGGGGCTGCTAAACTCCACCAACCCAGGACAGCACCCACCATCCCCACAAAGGATCGTCTGCCCCAAACGTCACCAGTGCTGAGAGTAAGAACCCCAGAGTGACATGCTCACCACCCTCAATGAGAAAGTTTAAGTATCTTAAGTAACCAAGGGGCGTTCACTGTGGGGGCAGGGCAGGGGTCACTGCACCCCCTTGGCAGGTGTGAGCAGGGAGGCTGAGGGAAGGGACACCCTCGAAGGTGACACGGTCGTGAAGAGTGGTGGGGGGGTTAATCCTCTGAGCCCCAGCTCCAGCCTCAGAACATCCCCCTGGGTGACAGGTCATGGAAAAAGGTGCCGAACCCCAAAGGTGACCCCAGCACCAGCCCGGTGGAGCTGGCACATTACTGGGCAGCCCCCACCATCCTGTGCCACCCGCAACAGGACAGTCTTCCCACGCAGAGCCAAGACCAGAACACACACAGGGGAGCAAAAATTTGCCTCCCCAAGACACGTCTTGGGCAAAAGGCTGATGTCAGGGGAGGGGCTCTGAGGACCGCGGGCGGGGGCGCTGCTTCCGAAAATGCCAGGTGTGACCTCTGGCCTGGCCGTCATGTCATCTCCTCTCAAGGGCCCAGCAGAACTTGCACCCGCACCCCTTCGTCTACGGGGCTTCCCCAGAACCCCCAGCTGGCCTCTCCTTTCTCCCCCCAAGGCCTCGGTCCCCACCACTGAAGACCGTCTGCGCCCCGGGGGCGCGCACCGACCCGGCGCCTCAGGGTCACCCCAGGGGCGCGGGCTCACTGCCTCTGCGCCCCACGACACATTTCTGAAGCACAAACCTGAGGGGAGGAGGCCGAAGGGGAGGAAATCGCGCAGGGAGGGGAGGGTGTCCCGGGGAAGGCGCGGCTCCGCGCCCCGGGTGCCCCGCGCCCACCTACCTGCGAGCATCAGGGCGCGCACGCAGTCGGTGCGGCCCTGCATGGCGGCCTTCATCAGCGCCGTGAAGCCGAAGGCGTTCCTGCGCTCCAGGTCCAGGCCCGGGAAGTAGTTGAGCAGGTAGCTGGTGATGGCCGCGTGACCTGCGGGGGAGGGGAGGCACGTGTCACCCGCCCCGCGGGGCTCCCTGCACCCCGGGGGCGCTCCGAACCCGGGGCCAGGCGGGGGGGGGGGGGGGGGGGGGGGAGGCACCCCGCGGGAGGGGGCGCGCAGGCGGGCAGCGCCTGGGGCAGGGAGGGCTGGGGGTGCGCGGGGAGGGCTGGGGGCGCAGGGACCCACGCGCCGCGCTCCCCGCGCGAGTCAGCATCGCTGCACAGGACGCGGGGCCGGGGGAGAAACTGCCTGCGTGTGTGCACGTGTGTGTGCAGGTGTGTGCGCGTGTGCAAGTGTGCGAGCCTGGCTGCTCTAAATGTCTCTCCTCCCTCCCTTTGCTCTCCCTCCCTGTCTTTCAAAACAGCTCTCAAATTCTTTCCCCCCACCCCCCCTGTTAGGGGAAAAGGCTGTCCAAAGCAAATTCCATACAGGCTTGTGGACTCCACCCCCACCCCAGGCCAAAGCCAAAGACACTGGGAACTCCAAATCCCATCACCACCCAAGGGAAGGTGGCTGGGACCTGAGGGTGGGTTCAGCAGCCAGGTGGATACAAAGGCAGACACGTGGGCTTTGGGGCTCTCTCCATTTTGGGGCCCTCGGCCAGCTCGCGCGTCCGTCTAGCTCTGAGAGTGACTTTGGGTTTCCAGGTCGTCGGATCGGGTAGGACGCATTAAAGACTTTATTTCCCTATTTTCTCCCTGAGTTGTACATTTTCCTTATTTCTTTTTCTCTTGTAAATAAACCTTTTATTAACCCTTTTGCGTGTGTCTGTAGTAGAGTATTCATAAGTCCCTTTAAAACGCGCGGTGAGGACCCACAGCCAGGAACCCGTTTAATATCGGGGTTGCTCTATAACACCCCCAGCCCCCACCACCCCCCACCCCCCACCCCCCCACCCCACCCCCCCACCCCGTGCTGTTACAGGACCCTCAGCCACAGCCCAAGGGGGTTTGCTTGAGGACACGGCTTCCCCCTTCACCACCCGCTGGCCCAGAAAGGACCTGATTTTCTGCTCATTCCCCAAAGCCCACATACTTGGGGGGTGAGAACTTCTCTGGAAAGCAGGATCCCCGGATTCTCCAGACCCGCCCCTGCTGCCGACGCCACTGGACACACTCGAGCCCCATGTGAAACGACCCCCCATGTCATCCCGGGCACCAGCCCTGGGGCTATCACCGCCTCGGGGCGGCCTGTGCTCCGCAGGACAGTGAGCAGCCTCTGGCCCCACTGCCCAGCCCGCTGCCAACTCCTCTGCTCCCATCCAGGAGGGGTAACCCAAGCGTGCCCAGATACTGCCAAACGGCCCTGGTGGCTGGGGGTGCCCTGCTGAGAACCAGTGTCCCGGAAGGGCAGGCGTCACTGAGTCTGGACAGACCCCACGGTCAGCACCGGCTTCCTCTCCTCCCGCCCACCCGCCCCGGCACCTGGGCCTGGGGCAGCACTGCAGCCTGGCTCCCATCACCCGGGGCTCGCACACCCTCGGGGGCCTGGGCAGGCTGCAGGGCCCTCTCCTGAGGCCCGTGGAGGGGCTGGGGGCTGGTCGCCATCCGCACACGGCAGACCCCGCTCTGGAAACCCCCCATCCATCCCACTGCGTGTTTCTTTGGAACCCCAGGAGCCCCCGGTGTTGGGGCTCAGGTACGAGGGCTGACGGCCATTGCAGTTGTGAACGTACAGTGCAGGGTCTGGGACGCCTCCCTGGCCTGCAGGCGAGAGAGCCACGCCATCCGCGAAGGCTGAAGCCAGAACAGGCCCGTCCTGAGAGGCACCGTGAGGACCCAGCTACCCGAGGGACACCAGGCTTCACCCCGCTCAGGACCAGGAGCCGGGGGGACTCAGACACCGGTTGCCCAGACCTAGCGTTTCTCCCCAGGTGCTCTTACGTGCCAGGAAGGCCACGACACCCCAGCACCACCCGCCTCTGCGCAGAGCACTGGCCTTTCCTCTGGGCAGGTGCCTGAGGACATGGAAGGATCTGGAGCTTCAGAGGACGCTCGGAACCGCCTCCCCCTGCCCGCAGCAGACAGTTACACTTTTCCACTCAGTGACTGTCCCCACCTACACAGAGTAAATTCACACGATGGTGGCGGCCAAACAGCTCTGGCAGAGGGAATCTTGTTGTGATTAGCTAAGAAAGCCTGTCTCACTGTGACTGAACCTTTTTTTATCCATGCACACAAGAGCTGGGGTGCAGGCCAGAGGCGCAGCGGGATGAGAGGACTCGCCAGAGACAGAGCGGGGAACAGAACAGGCAGACTGACTGAAATACACTGCTGAGGGAGCAGCAGGGAGACAGGAGAGGTCTGCTGCACCGTGTGGGTAGCTCCCTGGCCAGGGATTGAACTCGTGCTGCAGTGGCTGCCGATAGCTTCATAGGCTGTGTCTTAACCCCGTGCGCCACCAGGGAGGCCCCTGAAACCTTTATTTCAATCAACACAGTTGACTCTAAACCGGACACCCCCTCCTCGGCCCTGAGACACCCTTAGGCACCCTGGGGACCGGGTGCGCCCAGGCGGGGAGGCTGAGGGGGAGAAGAGCACACGGCACCTCTCTGCTGCTCTGGTCCCCTCGTGCCCACACCCGACACCAACACCTCCTGCCACACACAGGCGCCCAAGACACGACCCACAGCCAGGCCCCCCATCTGGCAGCTCCTGGACACTGCAGGCCGCTGCCCACGGGGTTCTAGATCCCGTGGCCTCACTTCTCATCCACGTCTAAAAGGATTCTGAATGAGAGCTGAGTTGGACAGCAGTGGAGACAGGGAGTTTAGTGCTTAGACCAGCTGGGCACCCCCAAGTTCGTGTCCCCAGCCGGTCACTGAAAATCTGGGTGAGCTTGGGAATGCGAGTCCACTTCACACACCTGGAAGATGAGAGATAACGTCGGCCTCACAGTTACTGACGTGACAGGAGCGTGTGTAGAGGGCGCCCAGGGGAGATCCCCAGGCAGAAAACTTCCTAGTGAAGTGTGCAGGTCCTCGCTGTCAGGGGGGTGAAATGTAACGACCCAGCCTTCACCTGTGGGCGCTGAGAGTGATGTCCCCCCAAAAGGTAGAATATGGGGGCAGGGAGAACCAACTGAAAGGGAAGAAGTTTGACAGACATGACCTCAGCCAGGGAGTCAAGGTCAAACGAGCAGCTGGGCCACAGGGCAGCACCGTGAGAGCCTCTGCTGGGCCAGGCTGCTCGTCCTCAGGCGTCTGAGCACCTCAGAGGCTCGACTGTAAAATCGCCTTTCAGCAAGAACCCCCACCCGCGGTATCTGACCGCCCTCCACATCTGGTGGCTTTCTCGTCCCCGGCCACCCCAGACGCCTGGTGCTGTCACCTGCCTCCAGCCAGGAGCCTGCCCGGTCAGCTTGCCAGACTCTCCCTTATCCCGAGGCTCTCGGTGACTTTCCACCCCTGGCGTCCCCACGCAGTGTGAGGGTCGAGTCCAGAGTCCCCCCGCCCCGCTGAAAACCCCCAACGCAGTGGCCCGCACCCGGGGCCCCATCAGGTCTGCCTTCTCAGGCCAACAGGTGCTGCCGAATCTTGGCTCTCACCCCTGCTGTGACGTGAGGGGAGCTGCACGCTCCTATGTCCCCAAGCTCTGCCGTGGAAACACCACTGGACACACCAAGAGTCAGGCCCCCCACGGGGCCGCTCCGGCCCCCGCCCAGATCACAGGTCCCGCCATGGAGAGGGGCCCAGGGGCCAACGTGATGCCAGGCGGGCCTGAGATGGCGGCTCAGGCCAGAGAAGGGGCATCGGGGGGAGCAGGGAGTCAGGGTGAAGAATGGACTTGAGATGGTGATGGACTGAAGACGAGAGGAGGGCGGAGGAGGTGGTGATGCAGCAACGATGCTCCCTCCTGGTCACCATCGCACGAGCGCAAGACCCTGACGACGAGGAAGGCGGGTGGGGGGAGCGGGAACTCTCTGGGCAATCGTCAGTTTCTTTCCTGCAAGCCCACACTACCCTCAAATCGAAAGTTTATTCTTAAAAGGGGAAGGGCCGTTGGGCAAGTGCTCCAGGCAGAGAGGAGGTCACGGCCAGATGCCAGAGAGAACCTCTCCTGGGGGTGCCCAGAGGGGGTAGCGGACAGAGATGATGTCTGGACCCCCTGAAGGGCAGGAGGATGGAAGAAGTGGCAGGGCCACGCGACTCCCAAAGATGGCGCTGGGAATTGTGGGGTTGCCCCACGTCACAGCAAGAGACAGGGCGAAGGTGAGCGCCCGCCCGGGGCCCTGGCCGAGCGCCTGCGCAGCGGCGTGTGTGCCCCACGCCCACGGCGCCCCAGCTGCCCTGGATTCTCAGCTGGCCCCAAGGGCGCTTCTGTGTTTCCCAAGCGACCACACTCCCCCAGGTCCAGATGGGAATTGGTTCACCTTCCCACTCGTAGGTCACCTGCTTCACAGCAAGCCCCTGGCACAGGGCGTGCCACACCCCCTACTTCACGGAGAGAACAGAAACCAGAGAAGGAAACCCTCTCCACGTTCCCACCGCCCCACGCCTCTCCCCACATCCGCGCGCTCTCTCCGCCCCTTCCACGGAAGAGGCTGGTTTTTCTCTGTGAAGATGCCAAGCTCTCCTTCCCAACGCTTTCAATACCCGCCTCTGCCCACTTCTGTGGCATCTGTGTGCTATCGGGTACCTCCTTGCTCATCAGCCTCTCCCTCCTGGCAAATCCATTCCCATCAGGGTGTGAAGGGCCCAAATTCCCCACCGGTCCTCTGCCTTGTGACTTGACGGTTCTGTCGAGAGAAGGCTGGTCCACGGGACGTTTGCAGGTGGCGGCAGAAGCCTGGCCCTAGGTTAGAGGTCCTCACGCGTGCTTGCAAAGCAGACGCTTTCTCAGCACTGTCCCCTCGCGAGCAGACCACCGCCCAGCACTGCCTCCTAAAGCCACCACCTTGGGGAGCAAGATTCAACATGTGACCGGGCTGGGGGCGGCCATCCGGTCCCTCGTGATGGTCGGCAATAATCCCCGGGGCTCCATCCTCCCTT